AAAAAACCTTCTGTAAAATGGCGTAATAATTCTTTAGAATCTATTAGAACTTGTTATAATGTACTAATTACTTTTGGCTATGGAGATAATAGTTGTACAATTACAAAAGACTCTCCAGTAATGGATGATGATAAACCTTGGATATTATTAGGCACTCCTTTGCTTAATCGTGCTAGATGGGAGCCTATTGTCAAGCGTGAATTCAAGTTAATACATAAAGGTAAAGTAATTACTATACCTTTTTCAGTACATAAGTCTCAGAGAGAGATATTTAAACCAGAAATCAACCTGACTTTTCACAAGCAAGATTCGGTTCATGTATCTACTGATTCTTCTAGTTCATCTAGTAAGGATAACAATGTATTATTAGAGAAATAGTATGCTTCTGCAGGTTTTAGTCCAGATTTTAGTCTATTTAGTGAAGATAATTTCTTGCAAAACAAGTCATTAGATAATGAATCAGAGATTCAAGACTTTACCTCTTCTCCAAATCATGAGCTGAGTTTAGACTCAAAAAGCCAATGCTCTGCAATAAAAAAAAATTAATTAAGACCCAAAGGGTCATTGCCTCGCAATATATATCACAAAATCAAGATATTCCTATATGGGAAAAATGTATGAATCACTTTTTCCAGGATATATGTACTTATACATCAACTCCGTTATTAGAATATGATTTACCATCTTTTTCTTCTAACTGATGAATAAGATTATATATAGTACCATCTTGGATTAATTTTTTTAATGTAAGTTCGAATAATTTTGTACTCCGATTGGCCATATCTATCTTAATTTGATTGCATTCTATATCTTTCTGTTGCTTAATAGTTTTTAAGGTTTCTTCAGTTGATTTAATAAGTTCTTGACGTAAATTATCTTTAGCTTCTTTGATTCTAGCATTAACCTCTTCTTCAGAGTATAATGGAGCAATATTAGAGGAAGAATCAGAGATTCGAGATTTTGTCTCTTCTTCGAATTTTGTCTTTTCAGGTTTTGAAACTGGTATTACTATACAATGAGACTCTGTCTCTACTTCTATTGTAGGATTATATTGAGGTTTTTTATTTCTTTGATATCTATCAACTTCATGTTTTAAAAATGCCTCTATAATAGGGCTAATACTACTTGCTTTACTTTCTGATAATGGATTTTTTTTCGAGTTGTAAGCTGAATCCATCCAGCTTTTATTAATGAAGGTGGTAGTTGGGTAAGAAGATTTGAATAATTTTTATGAAAAGTCATGTAATATCATGAAAAAATAATTTGATAACTTTAATTTATTCTATAAAATAACTATAAGACAACTTTTGTGAAAAGCTATGAAATTACATGAAATTATATGAAAAAATAAATTTATAACTCTTATTTATTCTATAAAATAATTATACATTATACGCATTTACCCTTTGGATCATTGCTTCGCAATAATATTGATCTTTGACTTGTTTCATTAATGTGCCACCTGGTCGATATAGCCATTTAATTACTGCATGCTAGATTGTTTTAGCTGAATCTATTCGCTTTTGATACCATGAACGAAATACTCGCTGAATAGTTAGTACTGCTTGTCTTTTAAAATATAGATAGCAATATTGTTGATGTCTTAAATGGGTATTCACCGAACCTTTATATCAATGTTGACATTTAATACATTGTCTATATATTTCTGAAGACATATATTTTCTTAACACATTATGTCCCTTTAGGGTCACCCCTCTGGGCCTGGGCATATAGATATATGAAGGAATAGTATACAATTAATCAAGAAAATTTTGATTATATGCTAGCATTGTATCGTAATTAATATATCTTGTTTATATATAATATTTAATAATTGTCTTGCAATTATATACACCCTGACAAATTTGCATTATTAATACGTTATTTTAAAGGTTCCTGATATTGAAGAGACTACTAATAGGACACAGCAGTCGCCGACTGGTAAAAATAAAATTCTGGCTACATAATGAATCATTTTTATTTAAATAGCTCTTAATATATTTTCGATCATTTCTTAATTTTACTATAGTCTCATCATTTCCTCCCGCTAGAGCAAGTGGATCATCAAATGTTACGCGTCAATCATTAATTACACTCCCCGAGGTTAGTGATGCGGATCTTTCAGTTTCTTCTATTAGTGGATTTAGCGGAGGATTTGATGCCGGATTTGAAATGAATGATGATTTACTTATGATGGATGATAGTGGGTAAGTGATAAACCAATGTTTGTTTATCATGGATTATTTCGAAAATTAATACTTCGGAATAGAATTAGAATTGACTTTGATGAAGAAGGTGGTCTACACGAATTTGAACTTCGATCTGATGGGCAGAATGAAACTCAACGACAAAATGGTCATGATCCTTTAAATCCGGATATGAATGAAATCATGAAAAGGGTTAGAGAAGAACATGACGCTGGCCTTCAAGGAAATCAAAAGGAAAAGAGACGAATACGTCAAAAGGAACCTGCTCCAGAAGGACAAGAAGTGGTATATAATTTAATTAATTATTCATTCATTAAATATTACTTGCTTATATGAGTTTTATAATATAATCAACAGGATGAACAAATTGCGGACGTTCAAATGGATATAGAGAGAGAAGGTATGCAAGAAGTTCTACAACAAACAACTCACGACGATCGAGAAGTGCTACAACACGACGACCAAGAAGTGCTACAACAAACAACAAATGACGATCAACAAGCACCAAACATCGAAACCAATGTCAGACCATCATCAGTCGAACCAAGGCGACAAAAAAGACGAAGACTTCATTATATGTACGATGAAGATACTGAAATGACTAATGAACAAATAATTGCTATGCGAGATGGTGTTGTAAATGATTTAGAAGAGGGTGAAAGAATTGCAAAAGACAAAGTTTGTCATTTCAGATTCTGAATGTTGCGATTTTCTTATTGATTCACCTATATGCTTAATATGTGTTTAATATACATAGGCAAAGATGCAAGAATATAAAGGTCTATGGAAACAGGCTCTTTATACACCAGGCCTACCACGCAAGTATTAAGTATTAGAAATTCAATAACGTACTGAAAACCTTTCATCTTTTGCTAAATAAACCTCAATGACATTTATATTACAGTCAGGGCCCAACAACTATCAACATTTTGGAGTGCGCATTGTGCACCAATGCTTCAAGGTATATTAATCAATAAATTATTTTTAATCAATAAATTGGTTTTGACTTATTTACATATCATAATCACATTATCGAAATAATCTAGACGATATTGTTAAGCAAAGGAGAGCTCAACCTGTATTTATACCTCAACGTAAGAATATAAAATGATTTATATTTTATTTTTATCACCAATGATCTGACATTTGTTTCATATGATATAGATATTAATCTAGATGATTTTAATGATTTGTATGCTGACGTTGAGGACATCGGCATTGGTGGTTCACGCCAGGTATTCTATACGTTTAATATAGAAATCAAATAAATCATTACTAATACTATTATTATTATTATATTCAGCATGAAAGGGATAGCAGCTTACAAGATATTGAGCTTGAACGCTTAAGAAAAGCTGGTAGTCAAAGCAATTCAGCAATTACAGGATTAAACAGTACTGGCACAGAAGTTCCAGATCTGTTAGGTAAATCAAGTTTTCATAATTATTTACTGTATTTGTTCATAAAAAAAGTGTTTCATTATTATGGATTAATGCTGAAATTATTTGTAGATTTTGATGGCGCTTCATCAGTAGAAAATTTAAGTAGAGATATTTTGGAATTTTCGGGACAACTTGGAAGGTAATTAGATGTTAATTTAAATATTTAGTATAGATTTAATTTGGTATAAGTTTCAATTTCTAGTATAGATTTAATTTTATATAAACTTAACATTTAGTATAGATTTAATTTGATATAAACTTAAATGTTTAGTATATATTTTAATTTTTGATAAGACCATTTTATATAGTTAATTTGATGTAAATATTTTGTATAGAATTAATTTGATATATTGAATGCTTATTTTACTTTTGAACAATAGTATTGGGCAGCCAAGGTCAAGTTCCATAGGACCGCAAAGACCATCCATTTCTATGTCAGACAGTTTTCCTCCTTTTGACGATAATATTGAAATTCCGGACTTTCAAATATTTGGAGGTATATACATCATAACTTTTATTAAATTTGATAGTAATTTAATTCTCTTTTATTTATGACGATGTTTCTAGAACTGGATGAAGATAGTTCAATGAGTGGTTCATCTACTAAAGGAAAACATCGGGATTCGGATTCAAGATCCGCTGTAAATAATGAACAGGAGCAATTAAATTTTATGGAATTTATAAAAGATTTAATGCAAAAAGCTGAAGTATCAAGCGCTATATTTCAAGATCTTATGGTGGCTCAGCATGTTAAACGAGCTGAAACAGCCAAAGCCTTTTATAATATTTTGGGTAAGTTATACCGGTGTATATATATATATATGCATGATTCATCTATATAATCTCATTAATTGATTTTATTATAAATAGGCCTTGCAACAAAGAATTTAATTAAAGTAAAACAAGTTCAACCATATGGTGATATTGTAATTGAACTTAAAGAATAATTTATTAGAAGTCAGTTTCTGTGTATAATTATCCAATGTTGCATAAAATATTAGAAAAGAATTATCTATAGCACTCAAAAAAAATTCACGTAATTTCAAACTCATTAAGAAATCTGTTCTAAACAATTAGAATAAGCTTCAAATTTTTTATATTGAAAATTGTATTTTAAGCGTCCAATCAGTAGCCCAATGTCGGAATTGACTTTGGTCTCTTCGTTATATGGTTATTATTTTCGCAAAAAAACAACTGATCAAAAATTAGCATACCACAAATCAAGACATAACCTTTCAACAATGATTTGTTTTTTTCAGTTTCGCTGTATTTTATATTTCATTTCATATTTTTATTTTCTACTATATTAACAACAAATAAAAGAAATAATAAGAAACAATAAGAAACAAAAGTTAAACATCTTATGTAAAATATTCGGATAAATAAATAATCATTTATTTTATAGTAGATATGTAAAATTTAAGAACGTAGTTTTAGCACCAATTTCCTTTTACCAGTGTATAAAAATCTCTGCACACAATGTGCCCGGTGCACTTTGTTAAATTTCACGCATTTTTGGTAAACTTTTGGGCTAAATAGTACATAGTTTATTGTACATATGGGGTGTTACATATTAAAACAGCATTTTTATAGATATTTTTATTCAACAAAAAAGTTTTTCATAATCAATAAGAACTGTCTTTAACAGGGGGAACC